ACGGCCTCAGGCTTCTGACCGGACGTGCGGATGGCCTCAAGGACCTTCTCGGCAGCAGCCATGTCAACAGGCTCGAGGGTGGCGTGGGTGTCGACAAGAAGCTTGTAGGTGTGAGCAGTGGGGGCGATTCCCTTGGCCATCATGCGATCGTAGTAGGCAAGAACCTTCGCCTTGTCACGCTTGGTAGTCAGGAAGAACTGCATCATGCTGTTGTAGGGAGCAGGGCGGGCCTTGTAGTTGGGCATTGCCTCCATCTCATCGAACAACTCCTCCGCAAACTTCTCGTCGCTGACGCGGCAGAGAGCGTTAACAATGGTACCGTAGGTGACCGAGGTAGGCTTGATTCCTAAAGCGCGCATCTCGGCGAAGTAGAACAGGCAGTCGTCGATGCGGCGAGCCTTGCCCAACTTGCCAATCAAAGCATTGTAGAGAAAAGAGCTGGGCTCGACACCCTCAGCCTTGGCACGGTGGAAGATTTTGACAGCCTCGGAAGCCTCGTCGAAAGTCTTGGCGGATTCCTTGAGGGTGGTGATGTACAGGCCGAAGGTGTTAGCGGAGGGGGCGGCACCCATGGCAAGCAGCTCCTGGTGGTACTGCTCGGCCATCTGGCGGTGACCAATGGTGAGGCAGGCGCCAACCATCGCATCCAGGATACTAGACCAACCGTAACGAACAACAGCGTACTGGGGCAGCAGGGGAACATCAGTGCGGGCCATCGCGAGAATGTCGTTGCAAAGCTCCATCTTGCCCTCGCGAGAAGCAGCAGAAATCAACTTGGCGTAGGTGATGTAGCGAGGGTGACGGCCAGCACGGCGCATGTTGCGGAAGCGACCAAGAGCGTCGTGGAGTCTGGGGCCCTTGCGGCCGTGAGAACCCTCGAGCTCATCAGAGATCAACGAAGAGCCCTTGAAGTCGGTGTTGTGCGCGTAGGGGTCAAACGAATCCTCAAAGCTCGAGACAGTGGCCGATGTGGTGAAGGGAGAGGCGGAGAGGTTCTGAGAAGACAGCTCGCGAGGATCGGTGATGCCACGGCTGCTCATGAACTGGTGAACGAAGTCAACACCCTCCTCAATTTCGTCAGCATACTCAGGGTTGGCAGCACGAATGCGCTGGAACATGAGCTCGGACTCGGCCAGACCCTCAGCAACTTGGCCAGATCCAATCATCGCAATGGCGTACATTGCAGTGGGCTCGATGAGAGCCGGGGTAACCGGGGTCTCCGGAGCGCAGAGAACGTGCCAGTAGCGAGCTGCGGAAGCAACATCGCCCTGACGAACGCTCAAAGCAAGAAGTGCCATGGCAGGGGTAGCAATCTGGTGGAAGTTGATAGGCAGATTGGCGAAAGCAGCGACGGCGGTGTGCTTGTCGCCGTGATCCGCAGCGCGAGTGGCAAGGCTGCTCATGGGGTCCGCTCTGACCTCAGTCTCGACAACCTGGGCCCAGCGGAGGGCCTCGTTGAAAATGCCGCGGTCAGTGAAAGCCTTGACCATGCCAGAGCTGACAATCGCATCCTTGATGTCGCCGGCGCGGACGCCATACTCCTTGATGATCTTCTCGTAGAACTTCATCGCACCGTCAACCTTGTCGGAGATGATGTAGGCGTGGATGACAGAAGCGTACACTTCGGCGTCCAGCCTGTCGTTAAGGGTAGGCTCGCCGTTGTCGTTAGCAACTGCAAGGTCCTTGTACTCGTTATAGCACTCGACAGCGCTGACGAGGTCGCCGGACGTCGCGAAGGCGGTGATCATGCTGGGGAACATGGCGGCGAAGGGGGTGACACGGTTCAACTCCATGTGCTCGTAGAGGCGGAGCATGTCAGTAACACGCCCAGCTTGAGCACAAGCAGAGATGAGCTGGTGGTATGACTCAGCAGAGTAGGACGCCCTCTGAGTGAGGACAGACTTCTCAAACATGTCCATGGCAAGATCGAGCCTGTCATCCTCGGAAAGAATGGCATGCTCAAGCTCGTGGGAAGCGAACATGAACTTGCCGGGCTCATCCATGCCACCGAAACGCACCAACTTGTCGTGAAGAGTCTTCTTCAAAGAGGCAACCTCGAGGGATCGGGCGGCAAGGAGACCAACAAGAATGTTGTAGGTATCGCTGTCCGGCACGATCTTGCGGCGGAGCATGTCGGCGTAGACATCCAGAGCCTTAGTGACCATCTCGTTCTTGGCGGTGGGCAAGTGAATGGCGGCAACCAACAGAGCGTTGTAGGCGCTCGCGATAGGCTGCACGCCGGCGACGAGCATGGCCTCGAACACGGCCGGAATCTCAGCGTAGCGGCCATCCTCAGAGAGCTTGTGAAGGTGGTCGGCGTACACCTGAGATTGAGGGTCGAAAGGAGGAGTGGCAGTTCGGGCTACGCTGACGGGAGTCCGCGATCTGTCGATTGCTGGGGACTGGTATGAGCGAGCGGCGGAGCCATTGTGGGACGCAGATCGAATAGAGTGCTCAGAGGCCTCTTCCAAAGCTTCCATGCGATTCCTGAATTCGATTTCTTTCTCGAGTGCTGCGTCAATCTGCGCCAGGGCGGCCTGTGCCTCTAACGGAATTGGCGAGGCTTCTCCATCTTGAGTGGCGGCGAGCTCCTCAGCATCGTGGGCCTTTGACTCGCCAACGAGAATGGAAGCTGGTGAAGGCTTCCACTCAATCTGGCGCTGAAATTGGAACTGGGTCCATTCCTTGTCGATATCTTCTTCGGAGGCCTGCTGCTCCTGCAGCGCCTCGAAGTAGGCGTCTAAGCTTCCATGCTTAAGCTTCTCGTCGAGCTTCTCGTGGTGATGCTGGGGGAGGCCAGCACTTGTCCGCTCAGCGGTGTGGAAAGCGGACTGAAGCTGGAGAGACTGAAGACGACCAAAGCGGTTGGTGTTTCGGCGCGCGAATGAAGGTCGGTTTTGTGTATTGAGGATGGGATGTGTGGCAGCTACGACGGACTGGGCGTAACCGTGGGTGAATGACTTTGCGAATCCTTGACGGATGAAGTTTTGGTAGAGGGAGGAGTAGATGGTGGGCATTTAGAAGACGCGGCGGAGGGGGGAATTCTGTATGGCAGGATCGTCAGTCAATTTGTGGTTTCCTTTGGAGTTGTTGCAGCATAAACGGTGATCGACAAAATTTGCGCTGTGCTTTCCGCGTGTTCAGATGACACATGTTTTTTTCCCTCCTCCGTTTCTTGGAGGAAGCTGCGCATTTGGGGTTGTTGGTTGTTTCGCCACAGCCTGATAAAAAAAAACGCCGGGCGGACGGGGATAACGGCACAGGCGACTTAGACAGTCGCCGGGGGTCATTGAGTGGTGACAACTTACATAGGGAAATATGAAGAGTCCGTTGCAGGTTCATTTGACAGCACTGTAGCCGCCAAATAAACGCGCGATCTGATTAAAGAAGGGTTATTGTATTGGGTATTGAAAAGCAAGAAGTAGGAGGGAAGCAAGACGATGACGGGGAGGGGGCCTGAGGTAGAAGTATTAGTCTGAGGCGCCGATAGATTTGGTGACTACCCGTACGGATACTGCCATCCACTACTGCGTGCTCCGTACCAAATGTCTATGGTGGCCGCAAGGGAAAAAAAGAAGAAGTGCAGGGTATACCGATCGGTAGGGAGGTGGGAGTGGGAATGGGCCTGGGAATGGAAAATGGGAGAGAACGGGAGCGCGTTTGAGATCGGACGGAGTCGATGAGGCTTACTACAGCCGATGCAAAGGAAGTCACTTTTCTACGGTTTACAGTGTGAATGCCGCAGCTGTCATTCTGGTAGGTACTTTGATGCCTCTGCCACCTCAGCTGAATCACTACGGATCGTCCACCGGCCACGGCTCTCGAATCCCTCCTTGGCCCGTCACGGCTGTCTCTTTCAGACTCTGGAAGGAATGGAGAATGGAACAGAAGGGGGGCCAGCTACGGGCACGCTAGACAAGGGCGAGTGGCAGGCCGCAGGCCAGGGGAAAGGAAGCAAGGCGAAGGCGAGGGACTTCGCATACGGAGTAGTGTAGAGTCTCACTCGCACTTGCGCGCACTGAGAAGCCTGGGGGAGAGACATACTCGAGAGAAGTTGGAAAAAATACCACAACAAGAATATGCGCAAAAGACTGGGGAACTTGTTCGCGTGGATTCGGAGCTGGCGCATGGACTGTGCCGACCTCGTCCAGTCATGTTGCGCGCTGACGGGAGAGGTGCGGGTACGCGACGGCCAAGGGTGGATTCGGGAACTTTAATTACTAAGGCCGTTGTGGCCGTCCGGGCGAGCAGCTCCTTCCAAGTTCCAGCTCCCAAGGCTCCAATGTTCTCTCGATGACTTGTTGCTGCCATTTTCCATGGGTGGATACATTGTGGCTACTCCTTGATATTAATGACTCAGGCAGCAAACCCCGAACTGTTTGCGACCTCTGAGTGGCTGGCCACTGTCTCTAGCCTCGTTTTGCTGTGGCTCACTCCCTTGTTCACGCTTGTTGGGTTTACGGACCAAGCATTGAAAAAGCAATGCTGGTTCATATTGGAATGGGCCCTGACACTGACAGTACATCCATCCATAAGATCTAGCTACGATACCGTGAAAGAGGCTGAGAAAGGGGGATGGGCAGAAAGGTAGACACTAGGTGGCCTCAATGTCCAACTCCTCCCGAGATCTGCCCTCTTCCTCCCATTAAACTGTGCCTTGGAAGCTGACAGGTGACGACGGCGTGTAGCTTTGGAATACGGGATAAGATGAAGTCGGAGACGGGACGGATACGTCAAGTATACGCCCCCGGGGCCGACTATGCGTGTCATAGGTACGGATACTGGACTCCTGGAGGTGTTGAAGGCGTAAGAAGATACTTGTCGCAAGTTTGAAAAGCCCGTTCGGTCACAAGTTCACTTTGAGCCCCTCACCTCCCTCGGCTTTCCAAAATGGTTCCCGCAGCGAGATGACGACTCTGACCTGCCGCCTGAGGACGCAAGATTGACTGATCATCGCTGCGCATCAAAGAGGCCCAGCTATATTGGTGCTAAGAAGCGGACTAAAAGCTGCGCTGGAACGTCAACTTGACAACGCCTTGGAACGCCTGAACGCACACGACCACCAAAAACACGGGGAAATTTGGGGCTGCGTCCCAGGGGTACCGAATTGCGTAGGTACGTAGCGCAAGGGGCCTCCCAGGGCTCACGAGTCCAGGCGATTGCCAAATCAGGCCGATGACTCTTTGATGTCTTCCACCCAAATGGCCCCCCTTCTGCGAGAAGAAACCGGCACCAGTGTACTGGATTGCGTGGGGCCGCTTCAAGGCTGGAGACATTTTCGAACTTTTTGACAGAAATGCATGTGGTCTATCTCCAATGTTTCCCCGGGGCTGTCCAATCGACGTGAGGTTGAACGGATAGAAGGTACGGGATACCTGCTCCTCCCCTGGCAGAGCCAATTTGGAAGGTCGTGGACGCGAATAGACGGTACCCGTGCCGTGACCAATCAGAACCGGTGCAATGCTGGGAGAAGCCGGAAGGCGCGGGATGGTCGGGGAGTCCTTTCTGCCTCCACTCGGGAGCCACTCACCTAAGGTCAAGGAAGGACCAAGTGCTCAGTTCCGTCCTGTCGGGAAGCTGCCTCCAGCCCCGCCGATTCCATTCCGTTCCCACCCATTGCTGTGTTTCGCCCACTGAGGTACGAAGTGCCTCCATACTGGCTGGCAAGTGGCTGCACAACTCTGCACTGTCCACACTTGCCTCCAGTTCGCTCCCCTGCTCCGGTACTTCCCCGCCGGTAGCGTCTGCTAGTCGTCCCCATTGGTGATTCACCACCAAAATGTCCATCCTCGTACGCAAATTTTTCAACACCAAATCCAGGGGCCATGATAGCTGAGGCGGACCCTTTGCTCAGCTACCACCGTCTCCTATTTCGATGATCGTGGCTCAAGGTATCTGTCACTGGTAAGATTGCCAGAGCTGGACCAGCTTCAACTTCTGGATACCACGCATCTTCGACCTGCTACCTACGATCAGACATTGCCAACAATGCTTCCCAAGCCACAACCGTTGACTTCAGGGGAAGTGAGGGTTGGTACCAAGCTATGGATCGCCTCCGCCAGCAACACGGGCAAAAGAAGAAACAACAAAACGCCAGCATCATATTCCGATCCTTTTTTCGCATTCCCAAATTCTCCTCTCATAACCCTTGGTTTGACTCCTTTTCCTGGGCTGTCTGAGACCCGGCCTGCTACGGATACATAGTTTTCTATCCCATGCCCTTGGGGCCTGTCCTTCGTCCATCCCTTGCCTACGCGGACGAATGGCGGCGCGCCCAAACTGACAATGTAATCTGCCCCTCCAAGTCCCCGTGGACCCTTTGCTTCAAGGGTCACTTACCGCATTTCTCTGAATCTCGAACACGGCCCGGAGATGGCGATGAGATCTTCATTGCCAATTGTCTCGTCAACTGGCAGCGGGAGCCATATTGGGCCAAAAGTCAAACTGGCCTGGCGGTGTGAAGCTTCTCAGATTCCCTGTCGTTACTATGGCAGGCCGCAGACTGTTGTCAAAGTCGTACCCTAACAAACGCGACGCGTCGAGACAATATTGAAGAATCGACATGTCCCTGGAACCCCTCCTCCGCAATTAGAGAGGCACGCTTGTACTCCGTACAACCGGCAGCATTTCACAGGCCAATGGCAGACACCCTGTTAAACGTGGCCAAGCACCTGAATTTTCCGCGACTCGTGGGGGCGCCTCACAATCTTTCACATCACGAGGCCATTCCTCCACGAAAAAGAGCCGCCATCGATTCTGCGGCACGGCGCAGAGCCACAGTCTCACAGATCCTAAAACAGGATCTCGGTCAGGCACAAGCTCCCCCGCCAGACATGGATGACCATGGATGATGTGCGCTGCAAGGCGCAGGTACCTACCTACACGCCGCCGTTAGAACCCTTTAGGCTCCGAAGGCTCGCGAACACAGGCACGTCAGACTCGGAGGAACGGGCTTCTGGTTGAGCCGGCTTACCTCCGCCGCCACGGACTGAACGAAACTTATCCCCGTGCCTTCATCATAATGCAGCATATGCTCTCTGTTTGCCGACCGCCGCCGACGGGTTAGAGATACAGTAGTGCCACTTCCTATCCGGCCGATGATCCTGTTCCCGTCATTGCCCTGGTCGCGTCTGATGCCGTCACCACGGTTCGACCAGGGAATTGCGGCTTATTCATCACCCGCCCCTAATGCGCTGCAACCTGCGCCCGTCCGGGGATTTCGCCTCCGCCTGTCACCGAGATGTGTCGGCTCGGGACTTCGGTGTGGGCTGTGGAGGATCGACGCCCGTACCCAGTCCAGCGGACTCCAGCCCAGTCTTGACAAGGTGACATGTTTGGCTTCGCACTTCTTCCCACGTGGGGCGCAGCCGTGCAAGTTCACAACGTGCGAGCGGGTGCCGTGCAGAAGCTAGCATCAGGGAAGACGCATGGCGCATCAATACATACGCAACATGCCGACTTGGAATCGCGTTTCGTTTGCAGTTTGCTTGCACATGTCTGCCAGTCACAGGTCCACTGTGGATTTACGAAAGGTGGCTCCGAGATGGAAATCCGATCATCTCGGACTACGCGTGGCTGTTGCACGATGCATCAGGGATGATGCAAGGCTGAGCCTGCTGCATTGAACCACATACGCAGCACCCCTAGGTTACTGACAGGTGACAAACGGAACCTCAAAATACATATCCCATGGCGTATCTGCAGAGTAGTGATTGCCCTCGCTGGTTTGGGAAACGATGTTGCAAGTCTGTCCTATGGATCTATTTCCACCCCTTTGATACGGCCAATTCGTTCAAGTACATGACTCCATGCCACAATCTCGAAGCTCCTGTCATTCGCCAGCATAAAGCATTTGGCATAAATCTTGAGATGTTAGCCTGCATGGTGCAAACAGGTACATTATCTCGGTGATTGCTACCTTGGTAGGGTGGGTTAAACGTAGACATATCATGATTATGTTCTCCCAAACGTGGGATATATTGAACTGGCTGTCCAGGTTATGCGAGTAATAGGTCCCCAGCACTTCGTAAATGACGCCGTATAACTATGTTGTTAAACCATGATCGGTGACATTCGAGAACCTGTTGGTATCATGTTTGCCAGTGGTGCTCTCGTGTCTGCCGCCAGCTGTTTGTGAACACTCGAGATACTGGCAAGGAAACGAGCTCCTTCCCCTACGATGTTTATCTCCAGATCAATGTCACGGGTCCATAGGGGGACTTGAGATTATCGGCAATCGCAAGACTGATACCAACTTCGAAGCTCTGTCTGACATAACCTCAGTGCAATAGTGCAGATACTCGTGTTATTGTGTTGTAGTAGGTATATAACGTATTGTGCAGTCAAATTCTATACCATATCCGAGAATCTCCCTTAAAAGCAAAACCTCGTCAAACTCGATCTCTCGCGCCTGCGAAGCCGGAAAGGAACAACCACTACATATCGTAGGTGTTGTTTCCCCGGATCACCCTCTATATTCGGACCACCGAAGCCACTTGACTGCAGCGGATAGAGAAAGGTAACATTCTCATACTATCCTACCACTTTCTTGCGCCAGCAGAGTCACTATCTTTGGTCAAGAATGTTGTTCAGCGTAAGACGTAAGGCAGAAGAACGACTAATCCGCTTTGATTCAAAGGGTTATCGAGATTCCCATGATCCACCCTCGTAGCCCGCGAGAATTCAGCCCACAAGAGTTTCCGAAACAAAAGGTGAAGTTATAGCGTAAAGTCCTGATCTTCTTGTTCAAGTTTGCAATTCTGTGTTAGGTAGAAAGGAGAAGAAAGGTGGCTTTCAGCCAGGGAATTACCGAGGTCCTCATCGTTCACTCTTGTAGCCCACAGGCGTTTTCGGACCAAATAGGCTGACGTAGACGTTCATGAGGATGGTAGTGGCATCACGAAGACGAAGGACACGCAGCCCTCACAAGTTGGGAAGGAAAGATGAAGCGTAGGGGAAATTTTCAAGAAGTGGGATCTGCATGCTGGAACATTGATGAACCCAGTATTCGGATAGTTTGGTGGCAACACGACTTCTTCCCACACGACGAGGGTACGGTGAAGAATGCCGATGTATCATAAGTTGTTTTAAAAAGTCCGTACTGGGTGGATGGCCGTGGTGATGAGGATGAAGGATGAATGATATCCAGCCTATCTTGATCCAACTCGGGGAAAATGGCAGCCTCAGGGGCTCCAACTAAGTGAAGAGGATGATTTCGGCTTTTTGGAAGACAATGGCTATAATACTCCACAACTACTGCGCTCAAAAGATGCCATATGATGTCGGGCCTCTGTACCCGTACACCCTCTCGTGATCATGCTGGCAATCTTCATAGCAACTTACCATGAGTCTCCTTCCAGGCTGACTGCCTCCCTTGCAACGACACTGCGTAGGCACATTGATATCATTTTCAATGCGGCATAAGTTTGGGGAAATCATGGCTATATGAAACGAAAGAGTCATGGGGAGAACAATGGAAGGGCAAGAAGGCGGTGGTAATCGATATTAATCTCGCACTCTATTTGAAGAAAATCACGCATACAGGTATGTGTAAAGAGTGAGCATGTTACAAACCTATTGCTCAAGAATAAATCAAACCGAGCGGAGTCAACCTCACAGTATTCCAGCATTTGGCGAAAAGTAGCGTCAAGAGACTGAAGTAAGGATGAAGGAGAGTACTTGATCGCCAAAGCATCACAGAGTATGACAAGGAAGCATGTTTGTTTGATTGATATGATTGGTTTTTATTGTCTCAGGGTCGGACTTCAGTCTCGACATCTTCTTCCTCTCTCCTAGTTTCTCATCCCTCGGCATATGGCCTCCCTCGCGTACCTAGTGGTATCGTTCTTTCCAAAATAAAAGCAGCTCTCACTCTCTCCAATGTGCGTATGACAGTCATGTCATCGCCATGAGTATTCCCATCCATAAAACGCCATCGCTTGCTAAGAATGTTCATCCCAGGTATCGTAGTACCATGCAGTCGCTAGTTTTCAAAAGACAAGAAAAAAAAAAGTCGCTCAAAAGATCTTCCTCCGCACCAGCCTGGGTGATTCCGGTTGCAGCTCCATTAGGTCCAGCTCTCATTAGGGTGTAGTGGTGGTAGTAGTGTGGTGTAGTGATGTTATAGTAGTAATTGATAGTAATGTTGTTCGACAAATGAGAGGTTGAGAGTTGAGATGTACTCGTGTGAGGCTGTAACCATCTATCGGTAGGAGCTGCCGACGGTGGAGATGGAGGCGCTGGACAGGACGGGCTGGATGGAGAAGAGAGGGCGGGC